ATTTCTGAACAATTAAAGAAAAAAGGCATGCCCCAGTAATCTAAACAACCCATCATCCCGGGCCCCCAATCATCAATCAGCCCCCCGAAATAAATATAAATGTCTGACATCTGAATGTCCGAGTTGTCATCATTGGCATAAAGGGCAGGGGGCTGGGGATATTTCATATGTAATGATGTGTTTGTTCTGCAATTATCTATCTTGTTTCATGACAATTTATGTCGACCTCGTTTGGTTTGTTCACTTTATTGTAATTTTATATTTTGGTTTGGCTGTTTAAAGTTATTGATTCTTTATATATCGTGTGTGAACCAGAATGCATGCAGAAATGGATTTGATTAATTATTGCGTGTATTTTCCGTGTTTGCTTTGAATTTATCATGTCTCAAATTGATTAATGTTAAACTTTTTCTGAACCTGCACGCATATTTGTATTTACATTCCATATTTTTCCTGTTTTTGTTCTGTATTTATCATTATATCCTGCCCCCTTGTTGCTACAAGGGCTAGATATCCCACCCCCAAAATAATAACATAACCAAATTTCTCACATATTTTTGTTGTTGTTGTTGTTGAACTAGACCTTATATCAGACCTCCTTACCCATCATCATCACCACCCCCACCCAACAAAAAAAGACAGTAAATGTTTGGTTTATATTCAGATTGCATTACTGCGAAAAACCTCAAAGGTCCAAAAGTGTTCAAGCCCCCTTTTCCCCAAACAAAACACAATATCAAAGTGCCCCCCCCCCCCTCCCCGCCTCTCTACAGGGAATTACTTAGCTTCTGGTCCAGTCCAACTCCTAATGTTTTTGGTGTTAGGAAAGTTTCAGGAAATCAAGATTGTGGATGAATAGAGTTAGGTTAATTAGTATGATTACCGGTACTAGTATCCTGAGGTACAGGTGTATGTATTGAAAATCTTGAAACTCTACATTGGCGAAAATTGAAAAGCTTCTGGGTGCCTGTCCTTGACTTTTGGCACTGGATATGACATATGGCTAAGGCTATATAATTTGTACGTCCATAGGTCCTATTAAAAACCATTTCCTACTAAAACATTGCTGTATAAACAATTACTAGTTTCTAAAATAGCATGGGCCTGCTTGTTCTACTTAATGTCTCAGTGGCGTAGCCAGGATAAGATCAGTAAGGGGCAGAGTGGTGGGGCAAGATTTCTCACAATGGGGACAAATTATGATAGGATAAGTTGTTATGCTTTACTTTATTTTTGTCATCACAGAAGTGGGGCAAATATATTAGCTAGGTTATGAGGATGTCTCTATATAATTATCAAAGATAAAAGGTAATATATACTTTTAAAGGTAAAGACCAGTATTGGAAACGCCCCAATTTCAAAAAATGAAATGGAAGCTCTCATTACCAATCATGTGAAAGAATATGTTTTGACTAATACATGATGATAAAAAATTTGCCGGGAAACCGCCTACTAATTCATATATTTGGTAAATTTGTTTCTCTCATGGTCTGGTGAGAGATAAAGGGTAGTCCCATATACATCTTTCTGTGTATAGTGCTTGTAACTTTACGAAGAATGGGCCAAATTTCCTATCATTTTGATGATTCCAGAACCTTGCAGATGCTAGATGCTAGATGATCAACCTTTTCTGATCGATTCCACAACGTTTCTTTCACAATGCAATCGCATGACCATTACTGGTCTTTACCTTTAAAGAAAGACATAATACAGGGGACGCCAGCACTGATTGCATATGGCATGACGGTCACAAAATCATATCTTATTTGGCTAAAAATCTTGATAATCTCGTATTATAAATCGCCACCCTCTTCTCGTATTATGAATAGTGACCCTCAAATCAAATTATGAATAGCGCCCCTTCCTCATGTTTATAAATAGCAACCCTCTTCTCATAGAATTGAATAGCGACCCTCTTTTTGTATTATGAATAGCAACCCTATTCTCTGTCCTTATGGGTAGCGACCCTCTTCTCGTATTATGAGTAGCGACCCTCTTCTTGTTTTATGAATAGCGACCCTCTTCTCGGTCCTTATGGGTACGGACCCTCAATACAAATAAATAGCGCCCCTTCCTCATGTTTATGAATAGCAACCCTCTTCTCATAGAATTGAATATCGACCCTCTTCTTGGTCCTTATGGGTAGTTACCCTCTTCTCGTATTATGAATAGCCACCCTCTTCTTGTATTATGAGTAGCGACCCTCTTCTCATATTATGAATAGTTACCCTCTTCTCGTATTATGAATAGCCACCCTCTTCTTGTATTATGAATAGCGACCCTCTTCTCATATTATGAATAGTTACCCTCTTCTCGTATTATGAATAGCCACCCTCTTCTTGTATTATGAATAGCCACCCTCTTCTCATATTATGAATAGCGACCCTCTTCTCATATTATGAATAGCGACCCTCTTCTCATATTATGAATAGCGACCCTCTCCTCGTATTATAAATAGCGCACCTTCCTCATGTTTATGAATACATGTAGCAACCCTCTTCTCATATAATTGAATAGCGACCCTCTTCTCGTATTATGAATAGCAACCCTCTTCTCATACATGTAGAATTGAATAGCGACCCTCTTCTCGTATTATGAATAGCAACCCCTTCTCATAGAATTGAATAGCGACCTCTTCTCGTATTATGAATAGCAACCCTCTTCTCATAGAATTGAATAGCGACCCTCTTCTAGTATTATAAATAGCAACCCTCTTCTCATAGAATTGAATAGCGACCCTCTTCTAGTATTATGAATAGCAACCCCTTCTCATAGAATTGAATAGCGACCTCTTCTCGTATTATGAATAGCAACCCTCTTCTCATAGAATTGAATAGCGACCCTCTTCTCGTATTATGGATAGCAACCCTCTTCTCATAGAATTGAATAGCGACCCTCTTCTAGTATTATGAATAGCAACCCTGTTCCCGTGTTATGAATAGTGCGCGTATCCCTGCGTGTATCTGACGCGAAGGCAATCTGCATGTAATCGAGAAGGCTTGACTCGAACTTTAATTTATCTTTATAAGGAGTAAAGCATAATTTGTTGATTAACGTTCTATTAGGTCTTCTTCGATGTTGTATAAAACAAATAATGAATGTTTTTCATTCGTTTAATAGTGCAAATATTTTCATTCGTTGAAAGATTAACGTTAATTCTATTCAACTCGGCTGACGCCTCGTTGAATAGAATGTTAATCTTTCAACTCATGAACATATTCGCACTATTGAACTCATAACCATTCATTATTTGTATACTATGTAATGACCCTTAATGTGAATTATGAATAGCTGCCCTCATCTCACATTATGAATAGCGGTCCTTATAAATAATCATGCCTTTATGAATAGTGACCCCTTTTCCGTTTTATGAATAGCGAGGTTACCCCTGTAGATCACCCCTGCAAAACAAGGGGTACGTAAAAGGGCTGCTATATTAACCAGCAGAGCCAATTGGCCCTCTGCCCCCTCCCCCACAATTAGTTTTGGGAAGTTTTTCACTTTTTTGGGGGTTGATTTGAAATTTCATTCTTAGAAGCGACTAACAAATAGTGGAAAAATACAGTTTTTAAAATGTAAAAATGTAAAGTCTTTTCAAAACGTACTTGCTCTGCTTACCCAAGCAAAGACTAATTTGATTCTGATTCAATATTTACAGAATAACTTATGAAACACATATGACACAAAATTACCAAATACCTTGGACTTGCCCATACACGAGCATCAAAACAATATGGACTTGAAAATTTGAATTGTTGATATTTATCGTTCTAAATTTCACAACTATCCACATCAGGATGTATAACAAACCAAAGTACCAGTACTGTGAAAGAAATTAGCTGAAAACACAAGATTGGTTGGCTTTTTAAAAATTAGTTTTTAACCTTAGAAACTGCCATGGACCCCCCCCCCCCCCCCCCACTCGACCAAAGCTTCAGTCTTGTAGTTGTATGATGGGGAGCCCTTTGTCTGTGCATCTATTATTAGAATACATACATGTAGGCGATTGAGGCCCTCCCCCCCCCCCCCCCCCCCGATCGAATAATGAAAAAAAGGGAAAGAAAAAAGAAAAAGAGAGAAAAAAAAGGGGAAAGGAAAAGGAAGATAAAAGAAGACGATTAGACCCCTTCCCCCCTGATCGTAAATTTGCATTCAATTTTCTGACTAGACCTGTGCCCCCGTATGATGCCAGCTAGTCCCCCCTCAACTTCTGACTCTAGCTACGCCAGTGCATATGTTCGGGATTTATGACATGATGGAAACATTTTCAAGGGTTGTAGTATGTGAATATAATTACTGAAATAAGACTAAATCAGTATTAATGTTATGTAGATCTAGCCTATAGTAATCCCAGACAACTCGCCCTAAAGACAGCTCGCCCTTTGAAAACTCGACACAATACCCTGGACATCTCGCCACAATACCCTGGACAACTCGACCATGGCGAGTTGTCCAGAGTATTGTGGCGAGATGTCCAGGGTATTGTGTCGAGTTGTCCAGGGTTGAGATGTCTTTGTGGCGAGTTGTCTGGACCCCGTCTAATGATGTAGCTGCTAGCTATTCGTTCCCCCAGTGATTTCTTCTTAATAACATTCTATAAATTAGGTACCTGTCCTTGTCTAGACCCTCTACAGATACTACAGTATATACAAACCTAACATTACACTAGTCCAAATCAAACAACACAGTAACACTAAACAACAGTTATAGTACTAGTATTTATAGTATATTAGTACCTGCATGATCTGACATGTACATCATGTACATGATGTAGGCCTAGGGCCAATTTATTGAAGATACATACAATAATGTATGTAGGCGGCTAGGCCTACCCTGATTTAATTAACATTGACTTGTAGTTGTACACATTACTTGATCTTACTGTTACTAGTGTTATAACTAACCGTTCTACGACAGCACAGTCACAGTCACAGTGGCAATCAATTAGTCAAGATAATCAATACAACAAAGATGATAAGGCAACAAGTATAATTACTCACCCATAACACCATCATTCTGTCAAACTGTACATACATGTATATATGTAGGACTCCATGCATGCAGCATGCGCATCCATCAAGCGCCTTGGTAGCCTCTTTTAAAGTCTATGCGATAATACACGCAGGAGCAGGCTCGTGTGTATTGTCAATGGTGATGACAACACATTTACCAATTTTCATATGGAAAGTTGTTGCTTTGGGCAACAACTTTACCAAATCGGTAAAAAAAGCAACACATTTACCATTTTTGCAACAACTTTACCATTCACAGGCAACAACTTTACCAAAAATTGGCAACAAGTTTACATGGGAAAACCCTCTCTCTCTCTCTCTTTCGGTCCTCTACCTCTGTATCCCCTATGCCTCCCCCCTCTCTCTCTCTCTCTCTCTCTCTCTCTTTCGGTCCTCTATCTCTGTATCCCCTATGCCTCCCTCTTTTTCGGTCCTCTATCTCTGTATCCCCTATGCCCCCCCCCCCCCCCCCCCCCCTCTCTCTCTCTCTCTTTCGGTCCTCTATCTCTGTATCCCCTATGCCTCCCTCTTTTTCGGTCCTCTACCTCTGTTTCCCCTATGCCTCCCCCTCTCTCTCTCTCTCTCTCTTTCTCTCTTTCGGTCCTCTATCTCTGTATCCCCTATGCCTCACTCTTTTTCGGTCCTCTATCTCTGTATCCCCTATGCCTCCCTCTCTCTCTCTCTTTCGGTCCTCTACCTTTGTATACCCTATGCCTCCCCCCCCCCCCCCTCTCTCTCTCTCTCTCTCTTTCGGTCCTCTATCTCTGTATCCCCTATGCCTCCCTCTCTCTCTCTCTCTCTCTCTCTCTTTCGGTCCTCTATCTCTGTATCCCCTATGCCTCCCTCTCTCTCTCTCTCTCTCTCTCTCTCTTTCGGTCCTCTATCTCTGTATCCCCTATGCCTCCCTCTCTCTCTCTCTTTCGGTCCTCTACCTCTGTTTCCCCTATGCCTCCCCCCTCTCTCTCTCTCTCTCTCTCTCTTTCGGTCCTCTATCTCTGTATCCCCTATGCCTCCCTCTTTTTCGGTCCTCTATCTCTGTATTCCCTATGCCTCCCTCTCTCTCTCTCTCTCTTTCGGTCCTCTACCTTTGTATACCCTATGCCTCCCCCCTCTCTCTCTCTCTCTCTCTCTCTCTTTCGGTCCTCTATCTCTGTATCCCCTATGCCTCCCTCTCTCTCTCTCTTTCGGTCCTCTACCTCTGTTTCCCCTATGCCTCCCCCCTCTCTCTCTCTCTCTCTGTCTCTCTCTTTCGGTCCTCTATCTCTGTATCCCCTATGCCTCCCTCTCTCTCTCTCTTTCGGTCCTCTACCTCTGTATCCCCTATGCCTCCCCTCTCTCTCTCTCTCTCTCTCTCTCTCTCTTTCGGTCCTCTATCTCTGTATCCCCTATGCCTCCCCCCTCTCTCTCTCTCTCTCTCTCTCTCTCTCTCTTTCGGTCCTCTATCTCTGTATCCCCTATGCCTCCCTCTTTTTCGGTCCTCTATCTCTGTATCCCCTATGCCTCCCTCTCTCTCTCTCTTTCGGTCCTCTACCTTTGTATACCCTATGCCTCCCCCCTCTCTCTCTCTCTTTCGGTCCTCTACCTTTGTATACCCTATGCCTCCCCCCTCTCTCTCTCTCTTTCGGTCCTCTACCTCTGTATCCCCTATGCCTCCCTCTCTCTCTCTCTCTCTCTCTCTCTCTCTTTCGGTCCTCTCTCTCTGTATCCCCTATACCTCCCCCTCTCTCTCTCTCATTCCCCCTCTCTCTCCCTCTCTCTCTCTCACACACACACACACACACACGCACGCACACACATACTATGAAGATGCAAAATAAAGACACGGAACACATTAGACCTCAAGATTAATGTAGTTTAATTCTAATTACAAGACATAAGTATCAGTATGAATCTAATCATAATACTAAAAAAACACAACACTCACATCTGCACATCCCCTCCCCCCCCCCCCCCCACACACATATATGTATGTGGTTTATATACTTATATATAAGAACAAGTACTCAATATTCCCAGAACCCCGGCCAGGGTTGCTCTTCCATATAAAACTTGTTATGTTTTAATGTTTTTTCTGTTGTTGTTATTTTTCTTCTTCAATTGTTTAATCGGATCTTTTCATGCAAGATTCCCAACAAGGTTAATCAATAAGACAAATGTGCCCCAAGGTACCCCATATAACGTTTTAGTGAATCACAAATGTTGTCTGATCTCGTTAAATGTGCATACTATTATATTAAACAAACAATTAAATCCACTTCTCTGGCGATGGACTATCATCGCAGGAGTAATCACGGGATTAATATCTTCACTATAAGAAAGTGTAGCTCCCGAGATCACTGAGGCGATGATAAATAGCTCAACGGCCACGGTAGTGAGTAATGATTATTTGCTTTATTCCACTTTGACAACACTTTTAGGTCTAGTAGATCTAAGTGTCGATCTAACATTGGATTAATTAATGTTCAAGCCACTAGTACATACAGTTCACATATTAAACTAGTTGATTATTATTCCTATTTTATAACCAAGCGAGATGAATGACATTTATCCACCAACAGAACCTTAAAACTTTATTGCAAATGTCACATACATATCTTATATCACATGAATAATAAAATGTTTATGGCCGTCTAAAAAACGCGGGTACTTGTACAAACTGAACCCAAGTTGAATCATTATACAGATAGTGAATGTGTTTGAGTGCAATGGTACAATATTTTGCATTCGGTGAAAGATAATAGACGCTTTATTCAACGAGAAACGAAGTTAAAGGTAAAGACCAGTATTGGTAACGCCCCAATTTCAAAAATGAAATGGAAGCTCTCATTACCAATCATGTGAAAGAATATGTTTTGACTAATACATGATGATAAAAAATTTGACGGGAAACCGCCTACTAATTCATATATTTGGTAAATTTATCTCTCTCATGGTCGTGTGAGAGAGATAGGGTAGTCCCATATACATCTTTCTGTGTATAGTGCTTGTAACTTTACGAAGAATGGGCCAAATTTCTTATCATTTTGATGATTCCAGAACCTTGCAGATGCTAGATGCTAGATGATCAACCTTTTCTGATCGATTCCACAACGTTTCTTTCACAATGCAATCGCATGACCATTACTGGTCTTTACCTTTAATATTGAACTTAATGAAAACGAGGCATTATTTTTCGACAGAATTTTAATAAACGTATTGTTAACGTGTTTGTACATTATTGGAGTTTTATAAAAATCTGATATATTTCAGTGTATTTGGTTTTGCAATAAAATATTTATCGATGAACAAGTTTCTGTCTGAACGAAAGGCAGGGCATATAAAAATGAAACTCATCCCCAAGTGATTGCAAATAACATAGATAGTAAACAACATACATTCTTGGACGAGAATAAATGTTAACACCCTAATCAGTCTGGTTTTAGACCTAAACATTCAACAGCTACTGCCCTTGCAAAACTGGTAAATCAATGGTCGATGAATATTTGCCTTCATATAGGTCTTCGGAAGGCTTTTGTTACCGTGACCATGAGCTACTTTTAAATAAACTAGCTTGTGTAGGTTGTAGTAATAGGACTATTTATTGGTTAAAATCATATTTAGGTGATCGACAACAAGTGACTCAATTCAAAGGAGCCAAGTCGCATTCATCAACCATCAAATTTGGTGTGCCACAAGTTTAAATTCTTGGTCTCCTTTTATTTTCAATATATGTTAATAGTCTACCTGAATGTAATCCTGAAGGTATCATAGATAATTATTTATACTGTTACGAATAATTGCATTTCAATTACAGTCAGAATGCTAATTGCATATATTACGTGTTGTTAGGTAGAGCAAGTAATAATGTTTATTCTACCTAGCAACAACTAATGCATGCAATTGGAACCCTGACTATTGAGATACATTTATTCGTAACACGTGGATGAAATGATTCGGATCGAGGCGCTTTAAAGAGTCATGTGCATACATTTCGTTACAGTACGAAATGACCTTTTGAGAAGTATTCGGGACCGTTTCGAGACACACACGACGACTGTGACTATTTTGAGAGAAGAGTTGTAGCACGAATTTGAGACCATGCTCAAAATTCCAGCGACACGATAAAAGGGACCTGCTATTCACGCGAGGTAATTGATATTTTGGAAACTTCCTCGAGAATGCTATACGAATTTGTCGATATGGGCTCTTCGAAGTGCACGGTTATTGCTCTTATTCCTATTTATGACATTTCAGGTGGCCTTTTGGGACCTAAAATTGCTATGAAGGTAATTTTAGAGCCCAAAATGTGTGACATTTAGATTAAATCCGATCAAACCAATTCAGCTCCGCTTTAAAAAAAAATACGGTGACCGTTAATTTGACAATTTAATGATCATAAAAATACCCGGGCCGGCTGGTTGTGTATATTATAACCTAACACGAAAAAGCCAACATTGTCATTGGCTGGAATAAAACGTATTAGGTGCTATTTCGATCTTTCAACGGCTGGTTCAAAATTATTGAATATTTGTGGGGGCCCCAAAAATGGTTACATTTATGGATTTATTTATTTATTATTTATGATTTTTCATTTAAATTGCATGCTCTTCCGAATTTGACACTCGGTTTTTCGTTATCTCACACAAAAAATATTATGTGTGGGCCCCTCTATGCCAACACTCAATCATCCCTTTAATAGATGACATCTTCACCCCACCCCTTCACTTAATCTCTCTCTCTCTGTTGACGAGTAGGAATTGCGACGGCCGTTTTACTACCCCCTCCCCTTTGCAACTTATGGTCAGTATCTACTCTTTCTTCCTTCCATTTATATTTATAGTGTCTACTGTTTCTCACTACATTGTGTGCGTCCATCTTTTGTTCCAGTATTACTACGACCGCTTGAATACTCTCTTCGAGAAAGAGTCGTCCACAGCGTTGAGTTCTCCATGGATGTTCGCCAGAGTTTCTTCACTCGTTTGTTGGCACCAAATGAAATAATAATGAAGACGCCTTGGAGACTGATGATGATGACGAAGAGATAGTCCATGAAGGGGACATCGATGACCATAGCTAAGAACCCAAATAACCAGGCGAATCCAAGAAGAGCTGAGATCTATTTACAAATGACGAGAAGGAAGAGAGATCGAGAGAAAGCATGTCTAAAGGAGAGTTCATACCCACTAAAGCATAGTTTGTTTCATGATAAATAGGGACACATACATTTTCCCAAACGTTCGAGCAGTAGAATAAGTCAGTAAAATTTTACTAAAATGTGACATTAATTCTTAGTTCTGATGATAAAACTTTTGATGCGTCGTATCGCCTATAAAGCAAATATTGTAGGAAGGCTAAAAAAAATGGACAGGTGTGAATGTTGCTGGAAAATTACTCTTGAATATTAAATGATAATAATGATAATAATACTAATAACATTTCTCCGAAACCTACCTTGACATATATTCTGAGTTCAACAGCCAATTGTTTGAATTGTGATTCCTGGCCAGGTTTTAGCACCGATGTTGTTTTTTTGGTAGAATGAATTCCATGTACCGTGATGATAAAAAACACGAGATTGGATAGAAGACATACAGACATTGGAACAAAGAACATTACTATGCTAGATAGTTTGGCAAGCCAGCATGTATTACTATCGTATTCCAAGAAAGGACCATTCTGGAATCCTCCGAACTGAAGGACCAAAGTGATCGAGACAAAGACGAGAGGAGTGCCCCATCCAATAACAAGAAAAGCCACCATCTTACGACCAAATGAGCCAGATGAAAATGATTTTATCTTGTTTGCTGCAAAGCTTCGACTCAGGTCCCAAGCAAGGATAGTCGTCCAAACAAACGAAGCAAGGAAGAAGAAGTGGGATAACGCAGCAACAACTATAGAAGGTATTCTAAACTGGGAGACTGAAAGACGTATGTACTGAAGAAAGATTTGTCCAAGGAACAAGGCAACAATGAAATTCATTATGGAGACACCCTGACGATTCCGCAAGGTAGAGAAGGAAATGTAAGTTATTAACGTAGCGAAAAGACAAACTGATGATACGGCAAATAGAACATGGCCTATGATCATCAATGACCTTCTACTTATGGGTGTGACCTGATCACTATAGCAGATGCTTATGGAACCATCGGGATGAATCAGAATGTCCTCTATGTCGTACATCTGACCTTGATACAGAATAACAGACTGGTTTTCTTGATAGTCCCATTCTAAGGAATCATTGGAAACCGTGAAGAAAGAGCAGGTTTGGAGAGCAATCTCGGTCCCACACACCACAAACTGATACTCTGATGAGACGGTGGCACTGCTGAACTGCATGTTGGTGATATTACTCCACCATTTTGGTCGAATATAAGTTCCATTGAAGAAAATAAAAGACTCGTTGTTGCTAAGAGAAGCCGTAAAATCAAAATTGTGTCCGACAAACATTTCCTCGGGACAACGATGTGTTATGTTTCCAGGGTTGTCTTCGACAAAACAGGACTGACTAGCTGATATTACCATGTCTTTACATTGGTCGCGGCTAGGAGTTTTAATTCGATGTATGATATCGCTCTGGATTATATCAAGAGATGGGTTCATGCCATCCGTGTAAATCAAACTGAATGTGATGGCATTATTAACCACGTCTGTTGAAGACCTAACTAGACAAGGTGGCGGAGCTGTTAAAGTTAGTGTGGTATTATCTATGGTCACCTCCCTGAAACAAACCATCTCTTTTAAACACTCTTCAGATCCGTTATTTTGTTTGACCCCAAAATGTTTGGATTGACAGACGGGCCAATCAGATGATATCGGAGCGCAGTTACCATTGTCATCCAACTCGAATCCGTCTATACATTGTGATTGTATTATTGGGTCGGGGTAGTCAATACGAAAAATATCAATTGCGCCTTCTAATGGTACTGTAATCACTTCATCGATACATATCAAGGAACCTCCATTGCAATAACTGCATGCAGGATGCTTACTTACAACACCTTCAACAATGAATGGTTTGTAATAATACTGACACTCGCGGGCTACCTCTTCGTCTGTCCCGTTCGGACAACTTCCCGATGTATTCACGAGACAAAGTCGAGGTTTGGGAATGGTTCGAACCGAAGGCATGATATTAGATCCGCTGATATTCAGCGAAACGTTGGACTGTGATGTGGGCATTAGTTTCATGCATTCAAGAGTATAATTATCTCCCCACCAACATTGTTGGTCTGCTGAAATGACAACAGCTGTCAACGAACTTTCTTCATACTCATGGCAAGAAGCACAATCTAGGTTTCTGAAGTACGTGTCCTGGTAGATATAAAGAACATCTATAGTTGCATTGGGAGAAACCTCTTCACAGTTTCGATTGACATCCTCCTCTAAAGACCATCCTGATGGGCACCTAGCAATCATCCTGTATCCATGTCCGAGGCGTGGGTCGAATTGAGGAAGGAAAGAATCAACGATACATTCCCATACGTCAAGGTCTAATAGCGTCTCGTTTGGTAAAGCCTTGTTTGATTGAATCTCGTCTGATAGAGTCTCGTTTGATCCTGTCTCGTTGAAAATTGTTAGAGGGTAGTCTGGACAGCAATCACCAAAGAATTGACACATATCATCGCATCTACATACAGTCGTTTCCTCGCCACCAAAACATGATTCTGCCAAGCATGTGTTATCTGCATACTGATATGAATCCATATTTTCTGTGAAAATAAACGGTATAGAAGATATCGTGATTATTCATACGATTTATCGTTTATAGGGTAACCTTTCTTTATGAAAGGTGTATCACACGTTATGAAAATGTTGTTCTCATGTTAATCACAATGGACAAACAATGACCAGATCTGTTACTGACTTCTAGTCTTATTGCTTCGGAGGCACTGGTTTATCAAGACTACTGGCGCTACGTCATTTATTGTAATACGAAATATGATACTGAGTAATAAAAACAAATGATATGCAATATTAGTTGATACATTTGGTCGATATTCACCATTTTACAGATTAACATAATCAATGTAGGTCTAATCATATCAATCAACATGATTATTTGATTAGTATGAAATACAAGCTGAGTAGGCTAATGTATGATATATCAAGCTGGGCCTATTTTTAGTTGTCAACTAACTATGTATTATTGCCTATGTATTTAGTCGGCAACTAGCTTACTACGGTCTTATGAATATGAGCAAAATTCAAGCTGACTGAAATGAACCATTTCGTCGACATACTCTCCAAGACCACCATACACGATACAGACATCATGGTCAGTTTAGATGTTAAATCTCTCTTCACCAATGTTTCTGTCACCGAATCCTGCCGAATCGTCACACAACGCCTCGAAGCTTCTCTCTTACATGGTGCGCCCGCAAGCCTACTGTATATTTAGCTTAGTAAGGTCTTAAGAATATGAGCAAAATTCGAGCTGACTGAAATGAACATGTTTCTTCGTGTTAAACTATTATTTATAATCCAGCACATTCAAGATGTGGCTGTCACACACGGATCAGAGAATCCGAAGCATTTTGCATCTGGTTATTTATCCAATATATCATTTTTTTCTCCAGTGATTATCAATATTCTGTTTTTACCTTCGCTCGAGTCAATATTACTCATGTCCAGAAAATCACTTGATGAAGAAGAAGAAGAGTCCGTGATATAGTCTGAAATACAAACAGGAAATGATATTACCAAACCGAAATATATGACTATTCAAAAGTCTTTAGTGCGATTGTATTAACTAACTATGTATTATTGCCTAATAATAGTCGACAACTAGCTTAGTAAGGTCTTATGAATATGAGCAAAATTCGAGCTGACTGAAATGAACATGTTTCTTCGTGTTAAACTATTATTTATAATCCAGCTCATTCAAGATGTGGCTGTCACACACGGATCAGAGAATCCGAAGCATTTTGCATCTGGTTATTTATCCAATATATCATTTTTCCCCCAGTGATTATCAATATTCTGTTTTTTACCTTCGCTCGAGTCAATATTACTCATGTCCAGAAAATCACTTGATGAAGAAGATTCCGTGATATTGTCTGAAATACAAACAGGAAATGATATTACCAAACCGAAATATATGACTATTCAAAAGTCTTTAGTGCGATTGTATTAACTAACTAACTATGGACTTATCGAAAGCATTCGATATTACCAAACCGAAATATATGACTATTCAAAAGTCTTTAGTGCGATTGTATTAACTAACTAACTATGGACTTATCGAAAGCATTCGATATTACCAAACCGAAATATATGACTATTCAAAAGTCTTTAGTGCGATTGTATTAACTAACTAACTATGGACTTATCGAAAGCATTCGATATTACCAAACCGAAATATATGACTATTCAAAAGTCTTTGGTGCGATTGTATTAACTAACTAACTATGGACTTATCGAAAGCATTCGATACCATGGACCATCGTATATTAATACATAAATTAAAAGCATATGGAGTTAGAGGGATTGTACTTTCTTGGTTTGAAGACTATTTGCGTAATAGACATCAATATGTTATGTTTAAATCTACAACATCTAATATTTCCACCATAGAATGCGGAGTACCACAAGGCTCCATATTAGGTCCCCTACTGTTTTTAGTATATATGAATGATATTGTTAATGCATCACCACTCCTCACATATGTTCTGTTCGCAGACGATACCAACGTATTATATTCGCATAAAGACTTAAACATTCTTATTACAACCCTCAATTTAGAACTAAATAAATTATCATCTTGGTTCAAATCCAATAAACTCTCTTTAAATATTAATAAGACTAATTGTATTTATTTCAAAAACATACACTCTAAACATGTACTTCATTATGATATTTTTAAAGATAACATGCCCATAATTGAAAAAGAAGTTACAAAATTCTTAGGTGTAATGATTGATTCAAACCTAACTTGGAATAGTCATATTAACAACATTTGCATGCTAGTCTCGAGAAGCATAGGCATTTTATATAAATTAAAATATTATCTATCACAAAAGTCACTATTTATGCTTTACAATTCCTTCATTTTGTCATACATATCTTATTATAACATAGTTTGTGGCAATAGTAGTAAGATGAAAATTATGTTAATATATCGTCTCCAAAAGAAAACACTTCGTCTTTGTACACATTCACATTATTTAGCCCATACTGATCCAATATTTTGTAAACTAAAAACATTAAAAATCGCTGACATTCACAGTTTTCAAACTGCAATCTTTATGTATAAATGTTGGATAAATACTATACCTTTGGCATTTCGAAATATTTTTGTTTACAATAGTGATATACATTCTTATCCCACACGACACTCATCTGATTTCCACTTAACAAACCCCAAAATTATTATGGCCTATAAATCGATAAGACATCATGGTCCAGACATTTGGAATGCTTTACCTGACAATATTAAACACTCTGCAACTCTTTATTCATTCAAAGCATCGATGAAAAAATATTTAATATCTACATATTCAAAAACATCATAAGGGTCTCAGAGGTTTTGATTGTTTATTTAAATTAATTTTAGATGACCAGTTCATTAACAATACGAATCGAACACTTACTTCACCTGCACACACCCACTTGCACAAACTTGCACATTTTTCTTCTTTTTTCTTTTTTCTTAATTTCTTTCCACTTTTTATTCAGATACTTTCTGAACAAAATCTTTATATGTGACTCTCTATTCCCCTACATTCTCCTAAAAACAGCGCCATGTACCCCCCCCCCCCCCTTCCCGGCTGCTATCGCCTCAAGCTTCTTTGCTTATGATAGTTGGCCTCTGCATTTATGTTGATTATTTTTACTTACCTCCATACTTTCAAGCTTTAAATTTTTTTTTTTTTTAATATTTTATTTTGTGTGTATTAAGTTGTCACTCTTGATGTAAATCAATTATATTATATACTATTATTGTTATTTGAATGTTTTATATTTGATTTATCAATAAATGCAGAAACATCTGCTAAAAAAAAAACTATGTATTATTGCCTAATAATAGTCGACAACTAGCTTAGTAAGGTCTTATGAATATAAGCAAAATTCGAGCTGACTGAAATGAAGCATTTCGTCGACATACTCTCCAAGACCACCAAACACGATACAGACATCATGGTCAGTTTAGATGTTGAATCTCTCTTCACCAATGTTCCTGTCACCGAATCCTGCCGAATCGTCAAACAATGCCTCGAAGCTGACGACAACATCCCCGACAGAACTCCCCTGACACCGGATGAAATACACGACCTTACGTACTTCTGCCTCAACTAAACTTCCTTCAAATGGCGAGACAATTATTACTACCAGCAACGTCCAGGCGCAGCCATGGGATCGCCTTTTTCACCGGATATAGCCAACATCTTCATGAAGCACTTCGAAACAACGTCACTTCAGACTCTCCCACAACGCCCTTCTCTCTGGCTCCTATATGTCGACGACACATTCGTCATTTGGCCACATAGCAGACGTGACTTAGACCACTTCCTCGCCCACAACAACCAGCATCACCCGAGCATCAAATTCACCATGGAGACCAAGCAAAACAACAGCATCCCCTTCCTAGACGTCCTCTTTACCAAATTGTCATCCGGCAAGCCCGCTCACCAAGTCTACAGGAAACTCCAACACAACGATAGATATCTTCACTACAGATCCGTCCACCATCCATCCGTACTACAATCAGTCCCAAACGCCCTCATCCGCCAAGCCCATCAACTCAGCGATGCCGACCATCTAGACCAGGAAATCCAGCAAGACATAAGATCAAGTCCAGGACTCCCGCCAGCAAGCCCGCAGCCAACACCATCCCTGAAGAGAACCAACCGCAGCTACACCACCGAAACAAACTGTTGTTCTACCCTATATCGGTCAAGCCTATCACAAGATTCAACGTATCCTTCAAGCAGCAGACATCCAAGTTCGACAAAGTTGCTCCAACAAACTCCATTCGATACTCCACTCCCACAAAGATAAGCATCCAAACCACAAGAAAGCTGGAGTCTTCAAAATACCATGCGAATGTGGGAAAGTCTACATTGGTGAAACGGGAAGAAATCTGGAAACAAGACTCAAGGAGCACAGAACCAGCTTCAGACTCATGCAGCGACTGGGATAAGTCCGCCATCGTCAAACTAGCCCAGCAACACGAACACACAATCGAATGGGATAACAGTCATCTCATCTCCATAAAGAAGATCTGGCATGCAAGCCGAATCCGAGAAGCCATCTAAATTCACCGCCACAATACAGTGCCCCAAGACTCAAGATTATACATCAACGGCATCTGGAAACCCCTCATACACAAGTACCCGGTCACTCCTCCTCTACCACCGCCTCCATCACCGCCTTCACCACCCTCGCAGACACCTGTACATTAACCACTCCACCCGCCGAACCCTCTAAGCAGCCACCAGCCTCACAGCTAATGCACAGCAGACGACAGCAGACTACAACGCCGCCTACGTCGGGGACACACACAACGTCTCGCCCACAGCACACCCCACTCATGGATTCGAACCTCTCCTAAGTCCGCAACCCGGAGACTCCAGCCCAGACGGACAAGCAGACGGACAGGCAGACCACCCATGTCCACTCCCCATGACTCAAGCCCACACGGTCATGTATATTTTCCCCACGTCCGCACCCCGGTGACTTAAGCTCACGCACGCAAGCTATTCTCCACTCCTGACGACGGATAGTCAACCTGTTCGAAACGTCGAGCCACTCCCGCCACCCATCCTCTCCAAGCTCTCCTTAGAAATATAAGTTAAGAATGATAACCAACAGTCATTTTCAAGACTAAACCGACAGTCCTTTTCAGGACTTCACACCCTCAAGAACGATTACCGAGAGTCCTTTTCAGGACTCCTCAATCCTCCCTCTCTCTCACATGGTGCACCCGCAAGCCTACTGTATGTTTAGCTTAGAAAGGTCTTAAGAATATGAGCAAAATTCGAGCTGACTGAAATGAACATGTTTCTTCGTGTTAAACTATTATTTATAATCCAGCACATTCAAGATGTGGCTGTCACACACGGATCAGAGAATCCGAAGCATTTTGCATCTGGTTATTTATCCAATATATCATATTTTTTTTCTCCAGTGATTATCAATTTTCTGTTTTTACCTTCGCTCGAGTCAATATTACTCATGTCCAGAAAATCACTTGATGAAGAAGAAGAAGATTCCGTGATATAGTCTGAAATACAAACAGGAAATGATATTACCAAACCGAAATATATGACTATTTAAAAGTCTTTAGTGCGATTGTATTAACTAACTATGTATTATATACCTCACTTAAGTAATCCAGCAATCTGATTGGTCGAAATTGCATTCATAAACTTTAACTGTTCCCGAAAATTCCCGGTAACCATGGTTAAAAAACAGTTCAAAATCCCAATAACCATGGTTATTGGGAAAATAGGTCAGTCTCCATGGTTACCCCATAGGTTTACATGTTAAAAAATGGTCTGAGCGATCGAGGATACCGTACGTGTGCGAAGAATTGGTCGATAATTTCAATACAATTGAATCTCGATCGATCTTACCGATAATTTTATCTTGCATATTGACATTAAGACGAAAATAAACTTCCAAAAACAAAAAAACAACATCTGCCGATAGATCTTGATCTAAATTCGTGCCAATATGCATTGCAAAAGTAAAAGAAGGGCCTGTTTAATGGAGCAGCTGCGAAGCTTCCACCACGCGAAGCCGTTTTCAATTCATTTTAATGTATATATAAGAAAAAAATGCTGGGTATGGTAACAGAGCGCGATAGCCGAGCGGTTTAAGGCGGCGGTTTTCGTTACATCACCTTTGGCACGCAAGAGATCGAATCCCATCTTCGACAAAAGTTTTTTTTTTTTTTTTTTTTTTGGCATATAAAAGTATTAATGACTGCTTTGAGAGAAATAGTTGTTTTTATACGCTCTCGGGAAGGTTACAATTGGGCTATTGCCCTCGGCACGCCTCGGGGCAATAGCACAATTCTAACCTTCCCTTGAGCGTATAAAAACAACTATTTCTCTCAAAGCAGTCATTAATACTATATTATTGCCTAATAACAGTCGACAACTAGCTTAGTACGGTCTAATGAATATGAGCAAAATTCGAGTTGACTGAAATGAACATGTTTCTTCGTGTTAAACAATTATTTATAATCCAGCACATTCAAGATGTGGCTGTCACACACGGATCAGAGAATCCGAAGCATTTTGCATCTGGTTATTTATCCAATAATATCATTTTTTTCTCCAGTGATTATCAATATTCTGTTTTTACCTTCGCTCGAGTCAATATTACTCATGTCCAGAAAATCACTTGATGAAGAAGATTCCGTGATATAGTCTGAAATACAAACAGGAAATGATATTACCAAACCGAAATATATGACTATTTAAAAGTCTTTAGTGCGATTGTATTAACTAACTATGTATTATTGCCTAATAATAGTCGACAACTAGCTTAGTAAGGTCTTATGAATATAAGCAAAATTCGAGCTGACTAAAATGAAGCATTTCGTCGACATACTCTCCAAGACCACCATACACGATACAGACATCATGGTCAGTTTAGATGTTGAATCTCTCTTCACCAATGTTCCTGTCACCGAATCCTGCCGAATCGTCAAACAACGCCTCGAAGCTGACGACAACCTCCCCGACAGAACTCCCCTGACACCGGATGAAATACACGACCTACGTACTTCTGCCTCAACTTCCTTCAAATGGCGAGACAATTATTACTACCAGCAACGTCAAGGCGCAGCCATGGGATCGCCTTTTTCACCGGATATAGCCAACATCTTCATGGAGCACTTCGAAACAATTAACGTCACTTCAGACTCTCTCACAACGCTCTTCTCTCTGGCTCCTATATGTCGACGACACATTCGTCATTTGGCCACATAGCAGACGTGACTTAGACCACTTCCTCGCCCACAACAACCAGCATCACCCGAGCATCAAATTCACCATGGAGACCAAGCAAAACAACAGCATCCCTTTCCTAGACGTCCTCTTTACCAAATTGTCATCCGGCAAGCCCGCTCACCAAGTCTACAGGAAACTCCAACACAACAATAGATATCTTCACTACAGATCCGTCCACCATCCATCCGTACTACAATCAGTCCCAAACGCCCTCATTCGCCAAGCCCATCAACTCAGCGATGCCGACCATCTAGACCAGGAAATCCAGCAAGACATAAGATCAAGTCCAGGACTCCCGCCAGCAAGCCCGCAGCCAACACCATCCCTGAAGAGAACCAATCCGCAGCTACACCACCGAAACAAACTGTTGTTCTACCCTATATCGGTCAAGCCTATCACAAGATTCAACGTATCCTTCAAGCTGCAGACATCCAAGTTCGACAAAGTTGCTCCAACAAACTCCATTCGATACTCTACTCTCACAAAGATAAGCATCCAAACCACAAGAAAGCTGGAGTCTACAAAATACCATGCGAATGTGGAAAAGTCTACATTGGTGAAACGGGGAGAAATCTGGAAACAAGACTCAAGGAGCACAGAACCAGCTTCAGACTCAGCGACTGGGATAAGTCCGCCATCGTCAAACACGCCCACGACCGACGACAGACAAGTCTTGCACATGCATTTTGGACTCTTTGTAACTTAGCTATCAGAGAATCAGGCATTCCAAACAGCAACCCATTACAATAATCATGCTTACTTGTGATAAGAGCATGTACAACCAATTTCATACTTTCTTGATCAAAATATTTGCGGATACGTCAGAGATTTTACAGAAGATAGTATGTTAATTTGCATATATTTTCAACATGTGTTTCCATGTTCAAATCAGTATCAAAGTATACTTCTAAATTCCTTGCTGTAACAGAGGGTATCACATTGAAGGATCCAACTCTTACACTTTCAATGCTTATTTTTTTAGATCTGTTGTGGAGTTCCTATAACCACAAATTCACTCTTACTATCGTTTAGCTTATCTATCGTCCTTGTTTTCACGAAGTGACGGTAGTGAGGAAAATCGTCACGCAAAGTGAATGCAATTTTTTTTCACTACCGTCACTTCGTGAAAACAGCGACGCTATGAATAAAATTAACACATTTTTCCAACATTGAAACACTTGCATCTTGAAAAAATTAATGTGACAAGAAATAATTTTGGAAATAAGACCTACTGTGCCTTTCCTACGCGTACCAAAATAATAGCTGATTCTAATGTTATCCCGATTGTTTTAGTTTTTGAGTTGGTATTGTTCTTTTTCTCTCAACAAACAAAATCGAATACATTAAAGATAAACTTGAGTTCTGGTAAACAAAAAACATGCTACATGATCAACTTTTTCTGATCAATTCCACACCTTTTCTTTCACAATGCAATCGCATGACCAGAACTCAACTTTATCTTTAATTGTACAAGTTTCAACATATTGTAGTTAAATATCACATTTGACTTAATACAATGAAAATTAACTTCTTCAATATAATATACATGATATGTAAGTGATATACCCTCGTCTGTAGAATAGATCAAACTCTGTTTTGCTTCAATGAATAAATCTGTTATGTCTCAGATCATTGATTGCTGATCATATACATCTAATGATTGAAATATTCATTCGTCAACGTGTGATATAAACATTTCTTTCTAATCTTAGTTTTATTCTAAAACAGTTTCATATGCATTTAATATATTGTTGTATTTTGACAAAATTGTTTTAGTAATTACAAAAAAAATGAAAACAAAGAAAGAGAGAGATAGAAAATTGTCATTGTACTGAAAGAGAAAGCTTAGCATGATAATATTGTTTGTAGAGAGAGGTAAATTTGTTAATATTGTATTGAGAAAGGAATAAATAATTATTGTAATGAAACAGAGAGATAGAGAGGTTGCGGTGAACTTGATAATATGTTACTGTTTCTTGTATTGAGTGAGAGAAAGGGAGAAAGGTGGGAGCGAAAAGGATGATATTGTAATGTTTCTTGTATTGAGTAAGAGAGAGAGAGAGAGAGAGAGAGATTGCTTTCATCGGATTCATTCACATGTTTATTTTTTTAAGATTTAATTTGACATGATTCGCTTCTGTTACTCTAATTCTATTTTGTTTGCATAATGGTGTTTTCAATTTGATATTACAGTTCTGTATATTGTTCTAAAGATAACAGGTTTACCAGGGATTTATATTTTCTGTGTTGCTTTTGTTTTCTACCAACACGGTAATCTAATTTTTCTTCTTCAGAAGTTATATACTTTTCAATGTAAACTGAAGGTGGAGTCGGAAAATAAAGTCAGTGCCCATACATGTTTTCTTTCTTAGCCCTTTTGTAGACCTTCTCTTCTCTCTGTCTGTCCGTCTCTTTCTTTCTCTCTTTCACTCTATCTCTCTCCCACCCTTTATCTCTCTCTCTCTCTCTCTCTCTCACTCAAAGAAATTGACTTTACAGAGGCAAAATAACGGAACACGTTAGACCTCAAAATGTAGTTTAATTCGAATTACGAGACATAAGTATCGGTATGAATCTAGTTATTATACAAACACAAAACACACGCTCACGTGTCCACACACCCCAAAACATGTGTGTGGTATATACACATATATATAAGAATAAGTATTCAATATTCCCAGAACCCAAGGTTGCCTCTTCCATACAAAAATGTCTCACGTACATACGATTCTAATAGGTTGAAATTAAGTTTAAGTTTGATGATTTAATTTTTTTTTTTTAATAATTGTTAATCGGATCTTTTCATGCGAGCTTAACAACAAGGCTAGCCAACAAAACAGATAGCACTTATAATAACGTTTGAGTGAATCACAGATTTTGTCAGATCTCGTACAATATACATATTATCATATATTACATGTATTAAACAAACAATTATACCCACTTCTCTTGCGGTGGGGCATGCTATCGTCGCAGAAGTAATCTCGGTGTTGCTATCTACACTAAGAAAATGTAGCTCCCGTGATCATCGAGGCGATGATATTTATCCCACCGGCCACAGTATTCAGTAATGATTATTTTGCTTCATTTTCCACTTCAACAACACTTTTAGGTTTAGTAGATCTAGGTCTCGATTTAACATTGGATTAATTAACGTTCATTACACTAGTGCATACCGTTCACATAAACGAGTTAATTGTTATTCATACTTTATAATCAGACTAGATGAATGAGGAAAAACATTGATCCATCAACAGTACCCTGATCTTTATTGTAAATGCCACAAATATATCTAATAACATGAATAATAAAAATGTTCATGGCCGTCTAAAAATGCGGGTATTTCGTACACACTGATCAGAAGTTGAATCAAATACATTATCAATTTGGCATCAGCTCCCTTTTTTGCGAGGGGGGAGGAGGGGTTCAGGTATGCTCTGTATAGGGGAGATGGTATAGCAGTCATCGTCCCCCAAGTGTCGGCCCTAAAGGTAGTTCCCACTTAACTGCCACAGCTCGTGACCAGCAGGAGATACAGAATTGTGAGGAAATTAGCGAGAGTTGTTATTAAAGATTCACACTGAATTGGTATCTTCGACACATTTGCATATGTCGCACAAACTCCTGTCAAGATTTTGGCTTAAATTCGCCTAGAGTTCGCCTTCGTGTCGTGTGCCATTCCCGCCCCCCCCCCCCCCCACTCCGAGAACGGACGGACCCCATGCGTGTTACCAAAATGTCCTTTTCGTAACAAAAGAAAAAGGTCGACCCGTATTGACTTTACACACCGGACTTTTGCTGAAAGGGGGGGGGGCTGAAAAAGGCTCGTATAACAAAAGAAAAAGGTCGACCCGTATTGACTTTACACACCGGACTTTTGCTGAAAAGAGGGGGGGGGGTCGTTTGGAACAAGCATATGAGTACCCTAAATAACACTGAGTGGGGGGAGGGGGGCGGTGTGCCATTCGTGCGAATGTCGTTCATTTTGGGGGTCAGCGATTTAGTCTCAAAGCGTCTTAGATATCAACATTTGTACAGAATTAGTTATTTTGAACCCCAATTTGAATGCACTAACAGCGCATTTCGCACCAGGAATGGCAGATTATTATTTTTGTCAAGTTAGTTTCCAATACGTCACAATTTAATTATTAGGTTGCCAACTGGAATCCCTCACAAAGTTGTCTCACTTTCTCGCACTTTCTCATACTCGGAAACAAATAAACCAATTCGTAATGTAACCAAATGTAGGCATATGCCTTTGTGAAGCGCCTCGATACGAAGTATTTCATTCACGTGAAATGTTACGAATAATTGTATTTCAATTATAATCAGAACGCAAATTGCATATTCGTTGTGTTGCTAGATAGGGTAAACCATAATGTTTGTTCTACCTAGCAACAACTGATGTATGCAATTGAAATCCCTGACTATTGAGATACATTTATTCGTATCGAGTCACTTAAAAAAAAACATATGACATTGCATTCATTTCGTTACATTACGAAAATGACCTATTGAGAAGTGGTCGGGACGGTTTCGAGACACACGCGACGACTGTGACTATTTAGAAAGAAGATTTGTGAGATAATTTCTATTTTTAGAAACTCCCTTGCGAATGCTATTCGAATTTGTCGCAACTTCGCAAGATACGAGCTCTTAAAGGAACAGTTGGGTTTTCGTTTAAGACCGCAATTAAGACCTTCGAAGTGCACGGTTATGATTGCTCTTATTCCTATTTATGACATTTCGAGTCCCCCTTTGGGGCCTAAAATTGCTATGAAGGTAATTTTAGACCCCAACCTGTGTGAAATTTAAATTTAATCCGATCATACCAATTCAGCTCCGCATTTAAATAAATTACGGTGACTGCTAATTTAATAATAATAACAATACACGGGCCGGCTGGTTGTGCATATTATAACCTAAGACGATAAAGCCAACATTGGCATTGGCTGGAAGTAAACGTATAAGGCGCTATATCGTTCTTTCAACGGCTGTTCAAAATTATTGAATATTTTGTGGGGCCCCAAAAATGGTTAAATTTATTAATATTTTAGCCGTCTTTTATACGATTTTGATCAAACAAAGATGATTTGGTTAATGAAATTGTATGCTCTTTCAAATTAGACACATTACCTGACACACACAAATATTTTGTGTAGCGCCCTCTATACCGAAAACTCAACACTCCCTTTAATCGATAATATCTTCACGCCACCCCTTCACTTACTCCCTCTCTCTGTGTTGACGAGTATGAACTGTACCTGCCGTTTTACTACCCTTTCCCCTTTAGCAACTTACGGTCAGTATCTGCTCCTTCTTCCTTCCATGTATATTTAATAGTGTCTAATGTTTCTCACTACATTGTGTGCGTCCAACTTGTGTTCCAGTACTACTACGAGCGCTTGAAAACTCTCTCCGAGACAGCCTGAGTCGTCCACATCCATGAATTCTGCGAAGATGTTCGCCAGAGTTTCTTCACTCGTTTGTTGGTACCGAATGAAATAAAAATGAAGACGCCTTGGAGACTGATGACGATGATGAAGAGATAGTCCATGAAGGGGACTCTGATGACCATAGCTAAGAACCCAAATAACCAGGCGAATCCAAGAAGAGCTGAGATCTATAACAAATGACGAGAAGGAAGAGAGATCGATTGAAAGCATGTTTGAAGAAGAGTTCATTTGTACCCACTAAGCAATATACTTGTAATGAGAATTTCTTTAAAGGTAGGAGAAAAAAATCAGAGGCGGTAGAGAGAGAGATAGAGGGTGATGTGGGGGGGGGGAGGTAGATAGTGCAATATATTGAACGGTTGTTTCCTATTATTGTACATGCTTCAAAATGAGGAAAAAAAAACATTGTAGGCCTATATTCATGTATGAAAAAAGAAATGGCCACTCAATTCGTAATTTTGTCTACATATTTTGTTTCACATCTTTATCATTGTTATACTATTGTTATATTGATACTATGTTGTAAATATGTTTGTACTCTCATACCCCAAGAGGGGGTCGATAGAGTCAATAAAATCTTACAATCTTACAATCTTACAGAGACACCAAGTTTCTCCAAAATGTTCGTGCAGTAGCATAAGAAGGTTAAATGTTGCTCATATGTGAAATTAGTTCTGATGATAAAACTCTTCATGCGTCGTACAGAGCATATAACGTAGGAGGGCTTGAAAAGAAATGGGCAAGTGAGAATTTTGCTGGATAATAATGTTGAATATTTAATGAAAATAACAATAAAAACGATAATGGTATTTATAATAATACAAATTGTAATGTTGAATATTTTGCTGGATAATAATGTTGAATATTTAATGAAAATAACAATAAAAACGATAATGGTATCTATAATAATACAAATTGTATCGAATAAAAGTACGATATGACATAGAAAAGAAACATATTGTAAAGAGAAACATAAAACTCTTAAAATAGGTTAAATCAAATAAGGGAAAAGTATGTTTCAGGGGGTCTCTTGAAAGTGGCAGGACAGGTTAAATCTCTGATGGAAAGAGAAATACTGTTTAACGTTTTCTAAGCAGCCACTGTAAAAATGTTTTTCGAAACCTACCTTGACATATATTCTGAGCTCAACAGCCAATTGTTTGAATTGTGATTCCTGGCCAGATTTTAGCACCGATGTTGTTTTCTTGGTAGAATGAACTCCATGTACCGTGATGATAAAAAACACGAGATTGGATAGAAGACATACAGACATTGGAACAAAGAACATTACTATGCTAGAAAGTTTGGTAAGCCAGCATGTATTACTGTCGTATTCCAAGAAAGGACCATTCTGGAATCCTCCGAACTGAAGTACCAAAGTGATCAAGACAAAGACGAGAGGGGTGCCCCATCCAATGACAAGAAAAGATACCATCTTACGACCAAATGAGCTAGATGAAAACGATTTCATCTTACTTGCTGCAAAGCTTCGACTCAGGTCCCAAGCAAGGATAGTAGTCCAAACAAACGAAGCAAGGAAAAAGAAATGGGACAACGCAGCAACAACTATACAAGGTATTCTAAACTGGGAGACTGAAATACTTACGTACTGAACAAAGCAACAATGAAATTCATTATGGATACACCCTGACGATTCCGCAAGGTAGAAAATGCAATATAAGTAATCAACGTAGCAAAAAGACAAACTGATGATACGGCAAACAGAACATGTCCTAGGATTATCAATGTCCTTCTACTAATGGGTGTGACCTGATCAATATAGCAGATGCTTATGGAACCATCGGGATGAATCAGAATGTCCTCTGTGTCGTACATCTGACCTTGATACAGAATAACAGACTGGTTTTCTTGATAGTCCCATTCAATGGAATCATTGGAAACCGTGAAGAAAGAGCAGGTTTGGAGAGCAATCTCGGTCCCACACATTACAAACTGATACACTGATGAGACGGTGGCACTGCTGAACTGCATGTTGGTGATATTACTCCACCATTTTGGTCGAATATAAGTTCCATTGAAGAAAATAAGAGATTCGTTGTTGATAAGAGAAGCCGTAAAATCCAAATATTGTCCAACAAACATTTCCTCGGGACAACCATATGTAATGTTTCCAGGGTTATCTTCGACATAACAGGACTGACTAGCTAATATTACTATGTCCTTGCAATCGTCTCGGCTAGGATTTTGAAGTTGATGTATGATGTCTCTCTGGATTATATCAAGAGATGGGTTCATGTCATCCGTGTAAATTAAATTGAATGTTATAGTATTATTAACCACGTCTGTTGAAGACCTTACTAGACAAGGTAGTGGAAGTATTAAAGATGTTGTAATATTGTCTATGGTCACCTCCCTGAAACAAAACATCTCTTCTAAACACTCTACAGTTCCGTTACTTTGTTTGACTCCAACATTTTTGGAATGACAGACGGGCCAATCAGATGATATCGGAGCGCAGTTACCATTGTCATCCAATTCAAATCCTTCAATACATTGTCTTATTAGGTCAGCGTAGTCAAAATGAAAAACTTCAAGGATGCTGAATGTTGTGCCCTTCCGTTCATCGATACACATCATGGAACCTCCACTGCAATTACTGCATGCAGGATGCTTACCTACAACACCTTCACTAATGAATGGTTTGTAATAATACTGACACTCGCGGGCTATCTCTTCATTTGTCCCGTTTGGACAACTTCCAGTTGTATTCACGAGGCAAAGTCGAGGTTTCGGAATAGTTTGAACAATATGCATATCTATATCAGATCCGCTGATATTCATCGAAACGTTGGACTGTAATGTGGGCATTGGTGTCATGCATGCAAGAGTATACTCATATCCCCACCAACATTGTTGGTCTGCTGAAATGACAACAGCTGTCAAAGAACTTTCAGTATACCCATGGCAAGTAGCACAACCCAGGTTTCTAAAGTATATGTTGTTGTAGATATAAAGAACATCTATAGTTGCATTGGGAGAAACCTCTTCACAGTTTCGTTTGACATCCTCCTCTAAAGACCATCCTGATGGGCACCTAGCAATCATCCTGTAACCATGTCCGAGCTCTGGGTAGAAGAGTGGAAGAAAAGTATCAACGATACATTCCCATACGCCAATGTCTAATAGCGTCTTTTTTGATAGAGCCTCGTTTGAAAGAGTCTCATTTGATCCTGTCTCGTTTGACCGAGTCCCGTTGGAAATTAGTACAGGATAGTCTGGACAGCAATCACCGAAGAATTGACACATATCATCGCATCTACATAAAGTTTCCTCGCCATCAAAGCATGATTCGTTAAAGCATGTGTTATCTGCATACTGATATGAATCCATGTTTTCTGTGGAAATAAGAGGTTATTATTAGAAGATATCATAATCATTAATAATAATAATAATAATAATAATAATAAATCACATTTATAATGCGCCTAATACATTGTTTCTAGGCGCAGTGGTGCTGTTGTCCCAGCAGCCATTAAGTGAAGCAATATCCTTACACGAAATAAAGCCGGGACGACAGCACCACAAGTACACAAGTCATTCATACGATTTATCGTGTATGAAGAAAATTTCATACTGTTTTAATAGAGGTTTATTGCTTATCATCAAAATGTTGTCTGGTTAATCACAATGGACAAACAAAGACCGGATCTGTAACTGACTCCTAGTCTTATTGCTTTGGTGGTACTGAAACTTTAAGATAACATTACTTGTTGTAAAGATAATGAAGATAATGAGAATTAATAAAGAAATGAAATGCAATACTAGTCGATAAATTTGGTCGATATTCACCACTTTACAGATTGACATATTCTATGTAGATCTAATCATAGCAATGAAAGGAATATTTGATTAATATGAAATACACATATAATAGGCAATCTGAGTAGGCTAATGTATGATATATCAGTCTGGGCCTTTTACTTTGTATTATGGCCTATGTATTTAGTTGACAACTAGCTTAGTACGGTTTTATGAATATGAGCAAAATTCAAGCTGACTGAAATGAACATGTTTCTTCATGGTAAACTATTCGTTATGATCCATCAGATGTGACTGTCACACCGGATCAGAGAATCCGAAGCATTTTTCATCTGATATTTTATCCAAGATATCCCAATGTATCCTTTTTATAAATTCATTATCAATATTCTATTTTTACCTGCAGATGAACTGATAAAAGTGTTGTCACGTGATGAAGAAGAAGCCGTCATATTGTCTGAAATACAAACAGAAAATAATATTACCATACCGAAATTTAAGACTATTAACATTCTTGTATATACGATTGGATTATATAATGTACTCTTCCTCCCATCCAAATATCCCAGAGTTACTCTCAAAAATATATTGATTGGTTTCAAGCACTCTGCTGCCTATTTAATGGTTAAAATTACCTTTCTGATTTAAAGCAATTTGAAGGAAGGAAACCAAAAAGTCATTTGGCGGGCGGTATCTGAATTTTGACGAAAAATTCACATTTCTAGAAAGTTCATTTTCTGCTATTTTATATTGCATCAAATGAAAGAGAAGGATCTAAGCTTTACAAATATGTGTCATTTATTAATTATTATTGTGATTAAGTTATGATAAAACATCGATAGTTCTCGGTTTCGTTTTTTCTGGGCCGCACTGTATAAAGCTATTAATGAAAGCTGCTGCGGATAGTTTATGAATTACCTGTATAGTTTCCTGGAGTATAAACTTCGATGTTCATCCTAAACCCAAGCTCTGTATTTGAAACGTCTGACTTAAAAGCCAGCCACATCTCTTTGCTGTTAGAGACTATGATACCAGGTAGAGAAGAACCTGAGAGAGTAGCCAATAATGATGCTGTATCATCTGGATCAAGACCAGAACCAATCCTCAAGATATCTAAGAAGTCTTCCAGATCAAAGGTGCTAAAAACTGCCATGATCTGGTAGTCTGCTGGTCCAGAAACAAGCCATTGAGTGTTGACGTTATTTGGATAGTTGTTTGGGTAGTTTGGTGAAACGATCGTCAAAGACTCGCCAAAACCAAAAGTATCAACTTCTGTTCCGTTGCTAAGATCTAGAAATATATGTTGAAGATTCGTGTGGTTTGAGATTGGCAAACAGTATACCAGGCGCGGATCCAGGATTTCTTAGGGGGAGAGGCCCAAATTTGAAATTATGCGAGCCAAATATTGGTACGTAATGGTGACCAGCAGTGACGTAATTAGGGGTGGGAGGGGCAAGTTTTCCCCCTCCCTCCTCCGCGAAGCGCTGAAGCTTTGACATTTCAATAAATTATTAGAGAAAGAAGACGATTCGTTGTACCATTCCCTAAAATAATCCTCGTCTGAATTATGTTTTCCTCCATCCCGCGAGAAGCGCGAAAGCTTTTACGTTTCATTAAATCATTAGAGAAAGTAGACGATTCGTTGTGTCGTTATCGACTCTTAATCTTCGTCTAAATTAAGTTTTCCCCCAAGCTTTTACGTTTCATTTAATCAATAGAGAAAGAAGACGATTCGTTGTACCGTTCTCGACTCTTAATCCTTGTCTAAATTCAGTTTTTTCCCCCGACTCCCGCGGAAGCTTCGACGTTTCATTAAAATATTAGAGAATGAAAACGATTCGTTGTACCGTTCTCGACTCTTAATCCTTGTCTAAATTCTGTTTTCCCCCTCCCGCGCGAAGCGCGGAAGCTTTTACGTTTCATTAAATCATTAGAGAAAGAAGACGATTCGTTGTACCGTTATGACTTTTAATCCGCGTCTAATTTCAGTCCCCCCCTCACCACGCGAAGCGCGGAAGCTTTTACGTTCCATTAAATCATTAGCGAAAGAAGACGATTTGTTGTACCGTTATGACTTTTAATCCTCGTCTAATTTCAGTTTCCCACCCCCCCCCCCCCCCCACCCGCGCGAAGCGCGGAAGCTTTTACGTTTCATTAAATCATTAGAGAAAGAAGACGATTCGTTGTACCATTATGACTTTTAATCCTCGTCTAATTTCAGTTCCCCCCCCCCTCCCGCGCGAATCGCGGAAGCTTTTACGTTTCATTAAACCATTAGAGAAAGAAGACGATTCGTTGTACCGTTATGACTTTTAATCCTCGTCTAATTTCAGTTCCCCCCCCCCCCCTTCCCGCGCGAAGCGCGGAAGCTTTTACGTTTCATTAAATCATTAGAGAAAGAAGACGATTCGTCGTAGCGTTCTCGACTCTTAATCTTTGTCTAAATTCCCCTCCTTCCGCGCAAAGCGCGGAAGCTTCGACGTTTCATTAAATTATTATAGAAAGAAGACGATTCGTCGTACCGTTCTCGAAAATTATCCTCGTCTGAATTCATTTCCCCCTCCCCCGCGCGAAGCGCAGAAGCTTTGACGTTTCATTAATTCATTAGGGATTTTAGGCGTTTGAATTATATTTCTCCAAGCCCCCCCCTATCAGTACGTCAGTGGGCCCTCCCCCCCCCTCCCCCCTATCAGTACGTCAGTGGGCCCTCCCCCCCCCCCCCCCCCCCCCCCTCCGATCTACACCTTGTTGGCGGGAAAATTGCAACTGATATCCCTTACCTTTCTTCATTCTCTTTTTTTTTCTTTCCTTTTCTCTCCTCTTTCCCTTTCCTTCCTTCTCTCTTTTTTTAGCGGGGACGGGGGGGGGGGGGGGGAGGCTAGGGCCTTTTGCCCCCCCCCCCCGATCCACAACTTGTTGGCGGGAAAATTGCAACTGATATCCCCCTATTCTTTTCTTTTCTTCTTCTTCTTTTGTCCTTCCCTTTATCTCCTCTTTTTCTTTTGTCTCTCACTTTCCTTCCTTCTCTTTTATTTTTTGATTGGGGGAAGGGGGCAGGCAACAGCCTTGGAGGCAAGTCCTTTTGCCCCGCCCCCCCCCCCCCCCGATCTCCTTCTTCCCTCTTTTCTTTTCTTCTTCCTCTTCTTTTTTCCTCTTTCTCTCCTCTTTCCCTTTCCCTTCTTTTCCTTCTCTCTCTCTCCTTTTTTTTTTTTTTTGCGGGTGGAGGGGTCAAGGCCCGCTCGCCCCCCCCCTGGATTCGTGCCTGCAGTATACAAATAAACACTGTTTTTGGAGGTTCTGGTTGAAACTATGAGCAATAGTACTATTAATTTTAAATATTACCATTTAAGTTACCGAGGCCCATAGTTTATACCAGTACCTCGAAAAGAAGACAGGGTGTATTTGTGTTGTACCCTGCATAAAATGTTTATTTAAAATATTTCACTTTTGATTTCAAACAAAGTTCAACTTCCAAATAGGGCTTTTTCAGAGCAACCTTAAATAATTCAAATAATAAAAATAGTTCTGGTCATAGGAAGAGCTCTTAACCAATCATAAACCAATAATTTTTAAATACAAGATATATTAATTTGTTGATACCTGCATACTAAGGAGCTTGTTTAGAAATATCAGGATGTTTAATACATTCATTTTTGCGATTCACTCCCCCCTCCTTCCCACCAACAGACCTGTAAGCCTAATATGATCCACCGCAAGTTTATGAAAGTGTATAATGGTTTAGTAGTTGCTTGAAATGTGAAATCCATAGTTCGTTTCAGATCAAGACCACCTCACTTTGATGTTTCAATTGACCTGATTGCATGCTAGTCGCCATGACTTTAGTCAACTTAATAACACTCTATACTTTCAGTTGGTATCAATAATTCAAAGATTTGTGTTTGTATTTTGACAAGCATATCCTATAATATGTGGTCAGGACGGTTAATAAAATCTCAGGGACAGAATTGACAAAACTTCAATTTTTGCATTGGAGTATTATGCATCAACAGCATTTATTTAAAATGTTGCCGCGAATTCGATAAATGGCACCTATTCTAAAATGCTAATTTATACAAATGTATGCAAAAATACAATAATACATTCTCACGTCCTGAAATATAAAATCCGGTGTATCAATATTGTTATATCCCGATGGTTTGATGGAGTTACATTTCTTGATCTTTCCGGGTTTTTTAAATAATGTTGCTAGTGTATACATCACGAAACAAAATTTTAATAGTGTATTTAAAAAAAATGAATATGTCAGCTTTCGAATATGTTAGAAAAAGCGAGATCAGTCATTTAAAATGAAATATGAATTTTAAATTCAATAATCTAAGCAATTATAAACAATTTTTAGTGTTTGAATGTAAATTGGACCAAAAAGTAATTGAAAATGATATTTACTATAATTTATCCATATTTACTAATCAAATCCCATTTCAATCGTTCATAAGAAAAAATGACAATACCAACACCTCTAGTTTGAAGTGAAATTTTCTTCTGCGATATTTTGATTTATATTACGGCCAACTTATTTTTTCAATAAGTTTATTAATCAACTTTATATATGAAGCACGTCATTATTTTTCCCGTTTTCGTTACATCGTGAAATACAAATGCCCTCGCCTTGAATATGTAAGTTGTACTTGATTAATGAGATAGGTCAGGTAATTTCAAAATATTTGTTGATTTCAAAAAAGGAGGCAAAAAAGGTAGGATGGGAACTTGGAGATGTTAAGCATTTCTTTGTTTATTTTGTTTTCTCTTTCGATTTATGAAGTTTACATTCAATAATATCATTTTATTTTCAATTGCAGCAAAGACATTTAAAAAAAATCAACGACAGGGTAGTGTTTCGATACCCTATTGTACTTCCCAGAAAAAGCATGCTCAGATCACATTATATGTCATTGTAATGTTTGCACAATTTAACGCATAAGGCTGTTATTAAGTGATTTTAAATGATTTATTGAAAGTTGTAGCGATCGTGTTCATAACAAAACACAGGAGCTAACAGGGATGAACATTTGTCAAAATCGAGAATGACGGATCCGAAGTGATATGACGTCTTTGCAAACCGTATATGAAGAATCTCATGCTTCACAGTTTAATGAGGATAAATTTATCTTCATTACCACAGTTCAATAAAAAAAAATTTATCCTCATTTACATGTAGCTGTTAAATGAAGATAAATTAATCATCATTAAACTGTGTTAACGTAGATAAATTTTCCTCATTTAGCTGTTAAATGAAGATAAATTTATCCTTATTAAGCTGCGATAAAGAAGATGAATTTACCCTCGTAATATTAATAGATTTGTACACAGTCGTATGTATTTGTATTCAGTGGTACATATTAAATTGTATATTACATTTGCATTTCTTGTTTTCATTTGTTTCAATTATATGTCCAGAGTGACCGCCATTCTTTTATGTTCAAATGGTAATTAAGTGAAGAGACTGGAGAGCGTGTGTAGAACAGAGATCGATAGTCAGATGTGTGGGTTGTAGTGTGTGGAGATGTGAAAGAAAAATCAAGGAATCAGTTTGATGAAATTTTGAGGAAAAGTGAACAAAAATTCGTTCATTTTGAAAATATATACTGTTGTGAGTGGAGAGTGGAAACAACTGGCCACCTACCCGTTTCACTGTGTCAACACCTTGTTTATTCTTTTGATCAAATGATCTTTCCCTTTCATGACATAATCATTAACTACTTAAACGCAGTTTTGGAGCAAGTAATATACAAGCAGAGCTTTTTAACATGCCTTTTTTTTAACAAAAATATTATCTTTATGGTCAGATCATGAGAACTGTTAAGTTAGTAATGTTCAATTATATTTACCGAGATCTACTTAGAATATTATTGTTACCAGAAGGTATTTTTGTTATGCTCTCTATGTTATGCACTAGTATTTGGAAGGCACAAAAAATAACTTGAATAGAATCCTCACTCTCTTTCTAAGTAACTTTTGCTGAGACTGTACCTCAAGGGGACAAGAAAGAATCCTTCCTTCAGTTCGGTTATCTATACTTCATGTGAATTAGGTAAACTTTCGAGCCAACTTTTGAAATAGGTGGCTCTTAAATAATGGTGCATAATATGGTCTGGTGGTATAGTTTATTATGAAGATATGAATATTATGTATAGCAATAAATAAATAACAACACAAAATACTAAGATTAAGTGTAAAAGATTAGCCCTAAAAAAATGAACAAAAAGGAAAATATACAAGAATAACTGAAATGCAGAATTACGGAGGAGAGGGGGGGGGGGTGGACTTTTATAAGTATTCACAGGCGTTTTATGACAAGCTATCCAGATATCGTAAGCGTTGATAATGTTATAATTATATCCCGATACCTTACATCAAGTCACGGATCTGTATTTTATGACAATAATGACAAAAAGCCGCAATATGATAACATATTTACTGAAATATTTAAGAGTAACGAGTTAAGTAGCTCGAAGCTTCTAAATCTAAATCTATACTTAATCTACATCAAGATATGAGTACTCACCAGACTGACTCAATAATAAAATGGAAACAATCCAAATAGAACGTGCGATGCTCGATGAAAAAGAATTCATTTTGACTCATCAGCGTAAACAAGAAATAATCATTTAATTTCACTGGTATTCAAATAATTCTTGATCTCAACGAAATGCAGCTTTATTCACGACCAGTAAAGATTACTCCACACCGTCTTAACATGTGACCTACAACTGATATAAATGGTAGTTTGGTTTGATAATTACGGATGGTTGTCTGCCTGATTCTAAGGTTGTCCATACCAGATTATATCTATTGGAGTTACGAAACGTCCAATAGGACTTTTAGGGTTTCGGCGGAAGGGGGGAGGGGGATGCCCGATACGAAGGATCTTTTAGTTTAATTTAGTCAGGAAGATAACTTTCCCCTTCAAATTGGCAAAGTTCTTGATTTAATCGTGACTTCTTTACATAAACACGGCAGGAAGGATATTAATCTGGAATTATAAAACTCGGTATGAGCGTATCCTAAACCAACCAATCCGAGCAGAATGTCTGTGTTACGTAACAGGTACCACTACAGTAGTATCTAATTACTCATAACTAAGCGATGTACGTAGGCACCTAGAGTATGCTAGGGAGCAGAGGGGTGCATTAACATGTTGCAGCCGTATATCACCACCAGCAACATTCTCCCACAAACAAAGAAAAGAGTAACCACATTTTTTTTTTAAAGGTAGTACAAAGTTTTGGTATGGGATCATGAATTTGGTTCAGCTGAAAATTATTGGAAGCATATGCGATTTTACAATATTTCAGTGATCGTTGTCGCGGTTGAATTCGGGTCTAAAATGATGAAATTGTACACAATAAACTTTTTATGTTGTATAGCGCCCTCACAAGGCCGACATTACTTTAGGTCTAAAACTATGTTTCTTGACTGCAATCAACCGACTTGTCATTTCCGTTTCGAAATTATATATCAAAACTTCATATTCTGATATTTTCATGGTCTCAGCGCTACCATGTGATGGCCTTAGGCGCTATTTGAAATATTTGAAATTTACCGGGAGCACCGGTAATTTTTTTATTATTCAATTTCTCGAAAGCAGAAGTGTTTCAGGGGCTACATTTTCTAGTGCTTATAAAACATCCACAGGGGCATCTAAATATATCAAAATTGTAAAGAATTACTATCCATCCTATTTTCCAAACATTTCCCAAAACTTTGCATTACCTTTAACAGAGCGTCTTTTCACTTAAAAACTCGCTCCCAGCATGAACTTTACACACTTTGTGTTAGGTCCATGCTCACTTCATCCTTACAGCACCCTGTATTGATACATGGGGTAACCTCATACTCCAAGCACCCTCGGCTCTCAGGGCTAGCAAAGTGTAATGCTATCCTGTCGTTATATCGTAAACTACTTTATGAATATAATTACAAAGGAAATAACGACAAGATACGGTTACATCCTCGTTGAGATCGACCGAGGTTGGCCCTTCATTTATTTATAACGTTGCATCTTCCTTCTAAAGGCCCGGTCACACAGAGGGGGACGCATGGGGGACGCACGGCCAGCGCATTGGAAATTTTGCAATTTGGGCCAGTGCGTTGTCGTTCGCTAGGCGTGCGTCATCATTCGTTACTCGTTTGTCGAGCGCGCTGGACCCACGCTATGCATTCGTCGTCATTCGCTGTGTGCGTAGGGATTTTTTGAGCATGCTCAAAAGTGTGCGCGGAGCTCGACGCATAAATGTACACGCCAAATGCACGCCAGACATGCGTGGAACGCGCTAGATCAGCGCCAGACATACGCGAAGCACACGCCCTGTATACACAAGCGCGCTAGCTACACGCTGTGCATTTTGTGTCAGCTCGCTAGCTTTTCCAAAATCATGACAAAAGTTGGGCACACGGCCTTTTCCGATTTCCAATGCGCCGGCCGTGCGTCGTCTATGTGTGACCACCTCTGTTGAGAACGCGGTGCATGCGTGGACCATTCGTCCAGCTCGCTAGCAACACGCTCTGCATTCGTGGAAGTTGTTACCATGTGCGTTCTGTGTACGGTTTGTATGCGCACTGCATGCGCCCTGTATGCGCTCAGCGCGCTAGCAACACGCTATGCATTTGGTGTCAGCTCGCTGTAGCTTCGACAAAAGTTGGGTGCACGACAACGCACTGGCGAAAATCGCAATTTTTCAATGCGCTGGCCGTGCGTTCTCCATGCGTCCCCTCTGTGTGACCGGGCCTTAAGCACTGGTGTTGTTTTGTTCGTTTGTTAATTTTCAATTGCACCTTGAGTCTTTGATTTCAAGTGTATTTGGCGCGTTGCAAATCTCATATATCATTATTGATTTATTGATTGATTAATTTATTATTATTATTATTATTATTATTGTTACTAATGTTGTTTTCATTGTTATCATTATTATCATTATTACCATTATTATTATCATTATTATCATTACTGTCATTATTCTTAATATTGTTATCATTAATATTATTATTATTATCATCATTATCACTGATATGGGGTTAAGACACACTTAATTGTCATTATTCCATTCCATTGTTACCACCCTAAAACGGATCCCTATAACCATGCACACCATTTCCCAAGGTTCCCAATACAGCCACCCACATACATTTGGTTTGGGGACGATTTATTAACACATTACATTGGATTTCAGCGAAGTATGTGGAATATTGAGTCTGGCGTTGATGAGACTAATGATGAGATTGATGATAATGTGCGATTGGTGACAAATATAAGGATTTGTTTTTATACCCTTTCACGTTTGGGAGCGTGGTTCAACAAACTCTCCTAGCAATCTTGCAGTGCCTATAAATCACTGAGAAGAGATTCAACTCACCCGTGATGTTATGAAAAGACCGTAGATGCTACCTATGGCAAACACATATTATCATTTTTTGACGCTTAAGGATTCTCACTTATACGACAAAAATAATAATCTCTCTGAAAAAACGATATAGTCCTAGAAGGACAGACTGGTTTTAATGAAAATAATACGTGAAGATAAACACATACAAAAATATTATAAAGTTCTAAAAACAAATTACAAAATATGAAAACTATCTGCAACTTGGTATCGAGAAAACACACTGACCAAAATCAGAGTATGCAATAGTTACCTATAATGATTGAGAAAAAATAAGAAAATATAACGAATTGATAGGTTACGCCCACCTTGTAAAGGAAGCATAAACAATGTACTTCGTAGCGAAATATACATACTAAAAGATCTCATCTTTAAAATATTTATTTAGATTGATTCATGAAAAAGGCATAGTGTATTCCAAATAAGCGATGACAGCTAACGAAAAGACGTTAAATTTGTTTTTTAATGTGGAATGCACGAGAAAAGAAATGCGTTAAATTAACAAAAGATGTTGATGTTGATGATAATAATGACAATTATGATGACGGATGATGATAATTATGATTTCAATATTGACAATGTGCAATAATAATAGTATTAACAATTATCATTATTATGATGATCATCATAATCATCATCATCACCATTATCACATCGTTTCTTCTCATGGATTTAGTTCGATGTTATACGAAGATGATACCCAAATTTACGTGACTTACTCCGGAAGCGGTCAGCAGGCAGCCACTATGAAAGTTGATAACTGTCTTGATGGACATAGTTTCATGGGCTCATACGAACATGTTAAAGATCGATGCTGGCAAGATTGAGCTTTTTCATTTATCATCATTGTTTAGCTCATCGTTCACCTGTTTCTGTAGTAGTTAATGGTCTCAAGCAGGAGCGAGGAACCTGGGTGTATATGGGTCATCAACTGCAACTTCAAGATCATCTCAACATGACATGCCGTTCAGCAATCTGTGCAATTAGAAAAATTGGACAAATAAGAAATTTACTTGATAAGAAAACCACTGAGAAATGAATTCATGCATTCGTTTCCTCTATGATTAATTGCTGTAATGCTCTATTGTTTGGTTTAGCCAAGAAAGATATCAGAATATTGCAAATTGTGCAAAACAGTGCTGCAAGAATTGTTGAACGAGCAAGGGGGAGGGTTCCAGTAACACCCATGTTAACTCACCTTCATTGGCTACTTGTAAAAGAAAAAAATGTTTATAAAGTTCTTATGTTGTGTTGCAAGGTAATGATTCACAAATCCCCGACTTATCTTCTTGATATTATTTCATCGTACATACCCGGTAGAAATCTCCGTTCCTCAACAAAGAATTTCCTGACTGTCCCTACTAGCACTTTTAACGGCAGCGCCTGTCTTGTGGAACCAACTTCCTGACCAGCTTCGAGTTGCTAATTGGGAGCACTTACGGCTTTGGAAGAGCCCTGAAAACTTATTTGTTTTCGAGGGTTTCCTAGAACTGCTTTGTCCTTTTGCTGGTTAGTTCGACATAATGGGTGTCTGTTTGTTAAATTTGTTTTATGTAATGTCAACTAGTTTTATTTAGGTGTAATTATAGGTGAATTGGTTTACTTTCCCATAAATATTTTTTTGTTATTTGCTTATCTATTTGCGCCTTCTTTCTTGTAGTAAAAGTTCTTTAATCATTATTTATGTTCCTACGGATAAATTATAATGTTTGAACATTGTCAAATATGTTGTCAAATTGAATGGAAGAAAATAAAGGTTCATTTGAATTGAATTGAATTGAATTTATTATGTTGTTTATATATTAAGATTTTTCATGATTGTAAAGCGCAGAGAGAAATTCCAATTTGTTATGCGCTTAATAAATATTCTCTATTATCATTATTAATATTATTATTATTATCATCACCATCATCCAATATTTTTTTTTTTTTTTGTAACCTTTTCAGGGAACTTTATTTTACATTTCTACAACGTTCACAATAATGTATATACATATACAAATTGAAATATTATCTTAGCATATCAACCAAAGCTTTTACCCGTTTTCCATTAACCTTTGCTCTTGTTTTAGAATTTAAATGTGGCATCAGTTCATACTTCAAATCAATTAATAGAGTTCTACCATTTATTTTGCTTTTTGTTTTTAAATATTAAACGTAGTCAACCATAATCATTTTTAATTTTCCATTTATATAGGTTATATTTTGACGGTCAAAACACATGCAAAAGTTCAAAATTAAACTGTTTGATTCTTTTATCTCGTATAGTAATGAACTTAAATACCAATACCGGATTCCAAATAAAATCGGAGGGCAGTGCTAATCGTTGCTGCCAAACATTGTATACAAAAGACTCTTCTTTTTTTCTGCATAGAAAATAGGTAGAACTGATGAAAGTCTGTGTTTGTAGACTATCTGTGAGGAAAGTGATGTTTACATTAACCCATACATATAGCATCCGGGGTTAAAACCATTTAACTTCCACCCAGTAGCCTGCCTACATCATTATTGTAACCCCCAGTATGACTTCCCTCCACACGAACCTCCACACGGACGTACCTCTCATCAA